ATATATATAGAGAGAGAGAGAGAGAGAGAGAGAGAGAGAGAGAGAGGGTTAGCTTTAAAAGAAAACCACAAAAAATGAAAATGCACATGTGCATATTCTACGGATGAATGATTATTAGGATGTTCCTCAACTTTTCATTTTTTGAGGGTTTTCCCTTAACCCTATCTCTTTATATACATATACACACACACATAGTCGAGTTCATACATGAATGATACTTATTTAAGAAAATAAAAGAATGAGCGAATCACATGTGATTTAACACTAACATCGTGTACAAATTTACATGTGATTTACGCGACCTTGCCACATGGCCATAGGGTCGTCCGCACACTTTTTTGGTCGTTAATGTAAAATCACATTTGTTTATGTACGTAATTTAGTCATTCTCTTATTTTCTTAGTTATGTACAATTTTCGTATGAACTTACCCCCCCCCCCTCTCTCTCTCTCTCTCTTTCTCACTATAGATATGGCTAAGGTTCTATCTGTTAGCAGCTTAATGAACTCAATGGAGCTCAGACTTATTATGTCGGCTATACATGACTGTCTTGTAGTGCCTCAATGATGGATATGAACTTTATGCAGAAAGTCAAGTTTTTTCAAACCCGCCCCTTCTAATTAAAAACACACTCATTCCATCTATGGAAAACTTTCTCAAACAAAAACCTTCCAAAAGATCTATATAAATAGATCAAACAGACAACTTTATCCATACACGACTTAATGAAAAAACAACTAAACAATTAAAAGACTATTTAGACCAAGAGACAAACAACATGAACTTTTATCCCTAGTTGGGCCTTGATAGTGGTATGGTCATTCATAAAGTGGGCCCATTTGGACCCAAAGGAGATTGATCCAAAAATAAAACCACTTAGAGCCCACCAATCATTCACCTCCATTACTTGTTTATTTCCATTTCATTCTTTTCCAAAACCCAAAAAAAAAAATCAAACTATTCAAACAATAATCATTAGATTTTAAAACTCGATTAGATATTAATTTGATCTTTATCACATCGGTTTTAACGGCTTACTAAGCTCGTACATACAAATACGAGGATCTAACCACAATGGTGGTGCCTGATTGGTTTGAGCTTGACTTTAAAGGTCAAAAGTGCCAGGAGGTTTCAGGTTCAAATCCAAAGAGGAACAAAAATCCCCTTGTGGCCATGGAGGTTCAAATGCGGTGACTTCAGGCTACCTGCAAAGTAGGTGATTGTCCTGAGATTAGTCGGCTCACTAAGCGGGTTGGATATCCAGGTTAATAAAAAAAAAGGATCAGATGTAAAATCATAACTTTCTTAAAATAAAGATAAAAATAAGATTTCTCGAAGTTTCCTATCACATCCAATACAGAATGTCGAATAAAACCAATACAAATATCTCCTATGCACTTGTACATGTTATATATATACACACACATACACACACACACACACACATATATATATATATATATATATATATATATATATATATATNATATATATATATATATATATATATATATATA